TGACTCAGAGCATTCCTTGTGACATATTTGGGGTGGGTCTTTGTCTAATGTCGAAAGGTACCCATCCTGTTAAACAAACACTTTTTAAAGAATTGAACCACTGTTGCTTACATCTCAAGAGGAATAGTAAATAATGACCCTAAAGAAGTTATTTTTGCCTCATGTAACTTTTTCTATCTAATAGAAAATAAGTCCCCACTGTAACAAAAAACTAAAAATTCTTACCAAAAAAAAAATCTTCATTAAGAATGGAACATTTATTTGCAGGCAGAGCAAGGGCTGCATCATGCTCTGTAGAGACCACAGGATACGTTTCCTTCTTTAGAATCCATGTAAAGGTCCATTACCTCTAGCATACCTATGGCGAGACACAAAGAGGATTTCTGATCCACTTCAATGGAGTTGGCAACTCTCCCTCATTATTTAAGAACAGAGAGAATTAAATCACTTGAGTACCTTAGTGTGGCAGCAAAACAGAACCCAGGAGGTACCCTGCTAGCATGTTCAGAGATTATGACGTCACCTAATCTCAGACCCAATTGATGGCTTGATGACAATAGAGAATAGTCTGGATTTTTCTAAATGTGCATGTGTATACACATTCACTCTAAGAAGTCAGAGTGAAACCCTCAGCAAAGCCTTCCAACATGGTGGACCCTCCACATCTTCTCCCCACATCTGGAAACCCATTCCCTGAGATAAAAGTGGCTACTAATGAATGACCAGGGTAACAACCAGACAACCAAGAGTTGCAGCACCACCTTAGAACAAAACTGACATGTGAATAGTGAAAGGAAGGGACCCTCACTGCTTCTCCAAGGCAGCTCTCCTCAGTGGCATTCACTGCAATGAAGAGCTACAATTTAGGTCAGACACTGGGTGGCACTAGCTTCCACTTGAGGACTACATTCCCACAGTGTAAGCCTCTCTGCTCTTCAAGTTCTAGGAGATTAGAGAAGGCAAAAAACCTTAGAAGTGTCCCCACTAGAACACCACTACTTGCCATTTACATGTCCTTTGGCTTTTTGTTTTTTTCTTTCATTTTTTCTTTTTTTGGTGATACTGAGAATTGAACCCAAGGGTACTCTACCACTGAACTACACCCCCAGCCCTTTTATTTTTTATTTTGAGACTGGTGAAAGTTGTGAAGGCTGGCTTTAATTTTGTGATCTTCCTTGGGCTGGGGTTGTGGCTCAGAGATAGAGCGCTCGCCCAGCATGCTTGGGGCACTGGGTTTGATCCTCAGCACCACATAAACAAATAAAGATATTGTGTCCACCCAAAAAACTAACAAATAAATATTAAAAAAAAAAAAAAAACTTGTGATCTTCCTGCCTCAGCCTCCTAAATAGCTGGGATTACAGGTGTGTGCCACCATGACTGGCTCCTTTGGCTTTCGTGTACATTATTTCACAAGACCCTTCAGATGACTCTGCAAGATAAGCAGGACAGGCATCCACTCAATTTTACAGATGAAGAAGTGGTGACTCTGAGGCTAAATGACTCACCTGTCCAATGTCACAGGTCAGGCAGTTATAATTAGCAGTCCAACAGAAGTGAACCCAACCCACACACTCACCAGCCAAAGCAGATTCTAGGACACCACCCTGCTTCCTTATGTTTATAGATGAGAGGCCATAGAGTGAGGGTTAAGAGCCTAGGTTCTGGGCTGGGGATGTGGCTCAAGCGGTAGCGCGCTCGCCTGGCATGCCTATGGATCTGGGTTCGATCCTCAGCACCACATACAAACAAAGATGTTGTGTCTGCCGAAAACTAAAAAATAAATATTAAAATTCTCTCTCTCTCTCCCTCTTTCTCTCTCACTCTCTCTCTTAAAAAAAAAAAAAAAAAAAAAAAGCCTAGGTTCTGGCACCACCAGATCTGCACTGCAGTCCTAGCTCTGCTATGAGCTGTCTGACCCTGTGCAGATTCCTTAACCTCCCCTCACCTGTTTCCTCACCTGTAAATGGGGAAGGAGGGAATAGCCTTACCTCACAGTTATAGTGATGGCTAAATGAGATGATGGACATGACCACTCAAATTCATTCAATCAGTGAATACTTGTGCCAGGCAAGAGCTAAGTTACAGCAATGATCAAGAGACACAGTTCTGCTCTCATGAAGCTTAGAGTTTAAATACTACTAAAGTGTGTTAAGAATTAAGGTAACAGTGAGTGACTGGAACACACATATGAAGGGCCAGTTTTTAACAGTGGTCCAAGGTGAAATTTCGGTTGAGCTCTGAAGGGTCCAAAAGTGGTCACCCATTCCCAGCTTAGCAACATGTGTGAGGGTCACAGCATGGGGAAGCCAAGGTATCCAGAAGATAAACGTGACTGCAGTATACCCTCTCATGGGATTTTGGGAACAACCTTTATAGGCTGCCACCAATGAGGATTGCCACATCTATTTTTAAATAACAAAGATGAGGCTAGAAAAAGGTGATATGTCTTGTCCAAGGTCACAGCAACCCAAAGGAGCTGGGACTAGAAGCTCTTAGCCTTCTACTTCCCAAATCAACAATGTCCATGGTTTTTACTTGTTTCACTAATCATTGCTTCCTGTGCCATGAAGAGTCCCAAAGCACCTTGAAAACACAAGCAGCAGTAGTACAGAAGCAGCTTCCAGGCCTCTACTTGACTGTGCGTGGAATCCCTGACTCTGAGCCTTACCATGCAAGACAGGAAGCTTCTCAGACTGACTCAAAGGCTCCAAAGTAGAAATGAGATTCTCTTCTTGCAGCAATGAACAAGAGAGAGAAGGGATGTCCCAGAAAATCCTGTGGTCTGTTCACAATAGGAGACAGAATCATCAACGAACATGAGGGCTCATCTCATACCAAAAGGGTATTTAAGAACTTGTAGAGGCATTTTGGGGTGAAATGCAGGGCGATGCTGGCTTAAGCAGGTGAGGCTAGGTATGCTCAATGTCTTGCAAAAGAACAGTATGGTCCTATATAGTAAAGAATGTACTATCCAGAATATTAACAGCAGCCTCCCTTGCACACTTTAGAGACAGCCTCTCTTAAAAGATCAATATGCTCCAACTTTTCCTGTACCCCCACAGTTCACTGGCTCTCCCTATCCTCATCACAACTGAATTAAAACAAAATTAAGATAAGGAGTGTGAAGTTTTGGAAGTCCAGTTGTAAGCTCATAACTCTAGCATGGAAGCTGGTAGTGAAATAAGGATAAGGAAATTTCTAGTAAGAGACAGACTTAAGAAATGTTACCAAAAAGAGAACTTTCTTCCTCACTCAAATAAGCTTTTGTAATACATTTATTTTATTACACATGAAATTCTGTGGTTTTAGGACCTATTTACAGTGCTTTTCACTTGAAAACCAGAAATAAGTGACAATTCTTTTTTTTTTTTTTTTTTTTTTTTTGGTACTGGGGATTGAACCCAGGGCCTCATGCATGTGAAGCAAGTACTCTACCAACTGAGCTATATCCCCAGCCCCAAGTGACAATTTTTTAAAAACAATTTAACTACAATCATTTCACAAATACAGTTGACTCTTTCCGGACTAAACTGCATAAGAAAGATTATTAATTTCAAGATGCCTAAAGCTGATCAAGTGACTGAAAGTGCCAAAGGCAGACCTGCCTTGCATTTCATTCCTGGTAGTTTCTGCAGGTCAGAGAAGCGCCAATGATATTGAGATCTGTTCTGGGATTAAAACACCATTTTTAACAGCAACTCAAAAGCTATTTCCAAGTGTTACCTAAATGACCCACTAGGTCTCTCCAAAATTATTTCACAAATTAAAGCTCATGTAATTGACAAAGAAAGAAACATAGATCACTAACTTTGCAGGAAAGAGAAAGAGATCCAAAGAGTCTACCCTAATTCCAAATAGCTACAACAGTGATCCAATAGATTAAATTCTCTATGAAGTAAGTACCCTAAGGACAGGAATCTTCCTCCTCCAAAATACCTCAATTTTCTCAACTAACCCAAAGGAGTCAGAATGTGTAACTTCTTCACTCACCTTGCCAATTAGCTCAGCTGCCCCACACCCCTCTTGACCAATTTTCTAGAAGCCTGACCTGGCTTTTTCAAGTAGCCAAGCAGACAGACCTGTTTTCCTCCAGAAGCACCTACCAGGCCTTGTCTACCCTGCGGGCCAGAACCCGGGAAATCCCCCTCCAGCCTTTCAGTGGCCTGCCACCAGAAGTTCACAAATGAATTCATCCAGATTCTTTGAACCTTCCTCTTCCCAGGTCTTGTGCTAACACCCAGGCAATAATACCCCACCTTGCCTAGCTCTGGGTCAAAAAAGATGCAGATTCACTGGAAGATTGAGCACTTCATACGGAGCAGAAGAAAAAGAAAAAAGATGGAGGGTTGTGAAAGTCGTTTAGCCAAGCCTACTGCATGCAACACTAGTGACCAGAGCCCTGGTCCTGCAAATCCAGGGAAGGAGGCCCTCCACACAGCAGGCCACACCTGTCTATGCCAACTGCCTGCTCCATTTTAAACAGTTCAAACATATCACCAGTAGGGTAACAAAATTGGGCACCCCCTCTAACAACATGGTTGAGAGCACTAATGCAAGCACTACTTGCCCCCAGTTTTAATTCTTTTCACATTCTTTGTTTAGGAGACACGGGTCAAATCTATCCCCCGCTCTAGCACAATGCTGCAGTGGCAGAAAGCAAGCACCAAGGCTGACTTGCTGTGAGCCAGACAAAACCTCTTCCCTGAGGATGGTGATGCCAACAAATGAGACGTCAATGGGCAGGTTCCACTTTGCCTTCCACAAGTGAACACACTCCGGGAGTTCAAACACGCCCGGCTCGGCAGCCTCACAGAAAGCCTCCTTTCTAGACGGGAGGTATCCCATTCATCCTCTGGTATGGAGAACCAAAGGAAAGGCGGACACATGCAGGAGTGCGCTCCATACCCAAACCTCAGCACGCGCGAGAAGGTTTGGGGTGCCCTGGCGCGCCCACCCTGTACCCCACCCTCCAAGGCCTCTACCACCCGCGTACTCACCACTGTGCGAGCTGAACCACCTGGGTGCGATGTGCAGAGGTAGAGCATCCGCCAGCGAGGCTCGGGAGCCCAGGTACAGCATCCCGTCTCTATGGTGACCGCCGCCCGTCTCCTGGTAACCATTGCCGTGGGCATAGGTGGAGTCGGACGCGGACCCTCCGCCGCCGGGCGCTCTCTCGGAGTCGCCGGTCCCCCGGGAGGCGGGGGTGTAGAGGCCAAAGGGCACCCCCCCGGCCGTGCTGGGGTCCATGCCCATGCCCGCCACCGAGCTGACCGAGCGGCTGCGCAACCCCATGGCCCCGCCGCCCGTCCGGTAGTGCCCAAAGTGGGGAGCCCCTCCCGGCGGGGGCACAGCGCTGTCATCGGTGGAGACCCCCGGGAAGGGGCCCCTGGAGCGGGCCGCCGTGCTCTGCTTGCCCCCCATGCTCGCCCGGGCCTCGGTGGGGCGGGAACCTAGAGGCCGAGACCCTCCCCCACTTCTCAGCAGCGGGGGGAGGGCTGGGCGAGCATAAAGGGGGAGGGAGTCAAAAAGGAGACCGGGAGGAAGAAAAGGAAAAAGCCCAAAAAACAAAAAAGCGAAAAGCAGAAAAATCGCGGGGCGGAAGAGGCAGGCGGGCGGGGACCCCAAACTAAGAATTTAAAACGATCCAAGCCAAACGCATGTTTCCCCTCAAGGTCCAAAGAGGCGCAGTCCGGCGCGGGCTCCGCGCGCCACAGGCCGCCCCCGGGCTCCGAAAGCCAGGGGAGCCGCAGGGAAGGAGGGAGGGAGGCGGCGGGCGGGCGCAGGGAGGCGCCGGAGGAGGCCGCCCGCCCCACAGCAGCAGGCGGAGGAGGGCTGGGGGCGCTGGACGCGTCCCCCGCCTCAGGACGCGGCGACCATGGACGGCGGCCCGGACCCCTCCAGGCCTCGGGCGGGCTGCGGCGCTGGGCGGCCAGGCGGAGCTCGGGAAGCCGCGGTCGCGTCGCGTCGCGCTCTCGCCCCGGCCGCCGCCAGCACCGCCAGCCGCGCCGCCCCGCTCGGTCCCGGGCAGCGCTCGCCGGCGCTCCTCGCCGCCGTGCAGACAATGGAGGGCGGCAGAGCGCAGGCGCGGCCCGCGCCCCCTCCCTCCCGCCCGCCGCGTTAACCCCTTCGCCGCGCCCGCGGCGCCGGGGCCGCCGACGTCCGCCCGGTCCCCACCCACCCGCCGCCCGGGCCGGCCGGGGACCGCGTGGCCTGCGCCGCGGGGCGTCGGCGGCGGTAGCAGGTCGTGGTTCCGAAGCCAGCTCTCCAAGAGTCCCCGAGAGCGGCTGATTATTCCGGGGGAACCACGAGTGGAGGAGGGGCGGCCAGGGTTTTAGGCGATGGGAAGGAAACGCCGGGAAGAAAGAAAATTAGCCTGTACGCCTACCTGACTCCGAGGGTCGCGGGTCGAGCTCCCCTCCCGCACAAATCTGCCCCCACAGCACCCTCTGGTGGACGTGCCGTCCATTCTTTCGGAGGTTCTGATCCCAGGACCCCGACGTCAGGGCTTAGCATCTGTGCAAGAGAGTGAGCTGTTTGAAGGTGCAAGAGTACCTGGGGCACTAGTGAATCGGGACCCAGGGGTGGCTTTGCACACTAAGATCAGAACTTTGGGGCGGAGACAAATGAGTCGATTCCTTAGCTAAAAGGTAATTCTCAAAATGTACAGGTGTAGGATAAAGAGTGAGAAGATATAGATAGGGAAATAGAAATCATGCAGCTAGGAGTGATTTTAGAAACTCTTTGTCCAAGCCAGACCCCTGTTTTATTTACCATGTATTTTGACACATGCCACAAAGTAAGGACACAGTCAGTATTGAATAACTATTTGTTGACCAAATCTGCCTTTTGCAATAGAGAATCACCTTTCCATCTCGGTTGCTGTGTTTCTCACATAGACAACATTCATTCATTCATTCTTTGAACAGCTGTTTTTCTAGTGCTAAATGCTAGCTCTGAGCATCACTCGTGCCTGGCCTAACTGACTTCCTGCCTCTTAAGAGCCTCCAGATACTTCCAAACCAGGGAACCCAAACAGGAAAAATATTAAAAGAAAACATAAGAGATAGGTATTGATTGTTCCAGTGTGACCAGCCTGGAAAGCAACAAGAAGATGACATTTGTAAGAAAGGAGTGCCTGAGGGTGAGCAAAGAGCTCTGTATAAAAAAGTTGAAAGTTTCGCATAAGGAATAAAAGTAAGAAGAAACAAAATAAGCCAATATCCAAGAAGTTACTTGCAAGTGTCTAAATGAGGAGTTTATGCACATTTGAAATCCAAATGAGTGATCTGAAGAAAAGCAAGAAAGCTTACATTTAACCCAGTTTTGTCACAGAAGAAAGACTATAAAATCAGGAATAGGTTTGGTTCAGTTCAAAAAATTAGATACTACTTCCCTAGCAAATAGGCCCCTACTTGGGAGATAAATGCACAATAAGCATTGTAACTGTCCAAGTAGCTTTTGATTTACTTATCCATACAAAACTTTTTGAATGTGATTAACAAAATATTTAGTATCTGAGTGCCAGCACTGTACTAGACTCTGGATATAAGTGAACAAAACAGATGGAATCCCTGCTGTCACAGAACTTCAGAAGAATCATTTTGCACCTACTTGGACAACTATAATCAAAGAGAAAGACAATAACAAATGTCAAAGAGAAGTGGAGAGATCAGAACCCTTGTACCACCGCAGCAGCTTAGAAAACAGCCTGGCAGTTCCTCAAAAAAGATTAAACATAGAATTACTGTATGATCAACAAATAACCCAATCAATAAATGGACCAAGGACATGAACAGACACTTCTCATAAGAGGATATTCAATCAATCAACAAATACATGAAAAAATGTTCATCATCTCTAGCAATTAGAGAAATGCAAATCAAAACTACTCTAAGATACCATCTCACTCTAATCAGAATGGCAGCCATTATGAAGACAAACAACAATAAGTGTTGGCAAGGATGTGGGGAAAAGGTACACTCATACATTGCTGGTGGGTCTCAAAATTGGTGCAGCCAATATGGAAAGCAGTATGGAGATTCCTTGGAAAACTTGCAATGGGATCACCATTTGACCCAGCTATCCCTCTCCTCAGTCTATACCCAAAGGACTTAAAAACAGCATATTACAGGGACACAGCCACCTCAATGTTTATAGCAGCACAATTCACAATAGCTAAACTGTGGAACCACCTAGATGCCCTTCAGTAGATGAAAGGATTTTTAAAAAGTGGCATATATACACAATGGAATATTACTCAGCAATAAAAGAGAATAAAATCATGGCACTTGCAGATAAATGGATGTTGTTGGAGAAGATAATGCTAAGTGAAGTTAGCCAATCCCCCAAAAAACAAATGGCAAATGTTTTCTCTGATATAAGGTGACTAACTCATAGTGGGGTAGGGAGAGGAAACATGGGAAGAATAGAGGAACTCTACATAGGGCAGAGGGTGGGAGGGGAATGGAGGGGACAAGGGGTTAGCAATGATGGTGGAATGTGATGGACATCATTATCCAAAGTATGAAGACATGAATTGGTGTGAACATACTTTGTATACAAACAGAAATATGAAAAATTGTGTTCTATATGTGTAATAAGAATTGTGATGCATTCCGCTGTCATGTATTTAAAAAATAAAAGCAATTAAAAAAAGAATTACTATATGACCTAGCAGTTTCACTCTTTGGTATTCTTCCAAGAGAACATACATACATAAGAAACAAGTTTGTACAGGAATATTCACTGCAGCATTATTTGAAAGAGTCAAAAAGCGGAAACAACTTTTTGACTCTTTCAAATAATGTCCATCAACTAATAAGCAACTCAACCAAGTTGGTATATCCACACAATGGAATATTGTTCAGCCATAAAAATAAATAGCATACCAATGCATGCTACAACATGAATTGAAAACATCATTCTAAGTAGTCAGTCACAAAAAACTGCATATTGATCCAGGCACAGTGGCCTACACCGGTAATCCCAGTGACTCAAGTCTAGAGGCTAGCCTCAGTAATTTAGTGAGGCCCTGACTCAAAATAAATAAAAAAGGACTGGCAACGGAGTTCTGTGGTAAAGCTTCCCTGGGCTCCAACCCCAGTCCCAATAAATAATTGCTGACTAAGTGCATGAATGATTAAGTGCTATGGGAGATGAAAAGACAGGAAATGGGTACCAACACGATCCAATGATTCTGAATCAAGACCTGAAAAAACAAGTTGGAAATTAGCCAAGTGAGGAAGTAGGACAGGTAGAACTGTGTTTGAGGAAAAGAGTGTTCCAGACAAAGGAAACAGCATATTCAAAGGCCCAGAGGTGACAATAAAGACATGTTGGAAGAAATGAAAGGCTATAGAACTGCAACAACAGTGGGGCTGGGGGTATAGCTCAGTGATAGAACACTCCCCTGGCATGCAAGAGGCCCTGGGTTTGGTCCCCAGTACTTCAAGGAAAAAAAGAAAAAATAGTTAATGTGCCAGGGGCAGGCATGGATATGGAAGGAGTAGAAGTCCTTCGTTGCCCTCCGTGTAGGGATATTGAATGCAGAAATGGACCTAGCTAGATTTGGACCTCCATTTTTTAAAAATTTGTTTTAGTTGTTGATGGGCCTTTATTTTATTTATTTGTATGTGGTGCTGAAAATCGAACCCAGTGCCTCGCACATGCTAGGCAAGCACTCTATCACTGAGCCACAACCCCACCCCCATTTTTTTGTTGTTTTTATCTTCATACCCTCACTGATCATGACTGAGCTGCTCTGTGGCACTCCTTGGCTGTGAAATAGGGTTAACAAACTGTGGATCCCACCTACCAGGAGAAAGAGCTGATAAAATCAGTGTTGCCAAAACCCTTTGCGGATGTGCAGAGTGTGCAGCAAATGTGTAGAACTATGCTGCAAAACCCTGGTTTTAAACGTCTTAGAAGAATGTAAGTTTAGGGCTTGCACAGTTCAGAAGGTAGGGGAAATGGCTTTTTAGGATCTATTCCTGGCTAGCAATGGGAAACCTGTGGCCTCTTTCCTGTTTCTAGGAGCCAGAGAATGGGGAGGGCTTTCCATGGCTTTGGAGGAGCCCCTCAACCCCACACCTCCATTGTGGGGTTGAGCCCCTTAACCCCCCACATCCTGGTAGACAAAAGTCTACCAGGGCTGGGCCTGGTAGCACATGTCTGTAACCCCAGCAGCTCAAGAGGCTGAGGCAGGAGAATTGCAAGTTCAAAGACAGCCTCAGCAGCTTAGTGAGACAAGACCCTGTCTCTAAAAGAATATATAAAAGGGCTGGGGATATGGCTCACTGGTTAAGCACCACTGGGTTCAATCCCTGGTATTAAAAAAAATGTTTACCAGGAGAAACAGCCTTTCAAGCCCTCTCAGAGCTCTTTACATCTCTATTATTTTGCTTGAAAAGGGAAAAATAAGCAGAGGGCTATGAGCAACCATATGCACATAGCAGGAGGCTGGGCTTGTGAGCACATCTATAAATCTTTGTTGACTAAAGGAGAGAGAAATTCCTAGTGGGTTCAGGGAAGGGGTCCAAGGTTCCTGGATGTAAGGGGACTGGGGGCACAGTTAACTCTGAGGTATAATAGAAGACAGAGATGGGGAGAAAAGAACTAAAGAGAGCAAATAAAAAAATTTAAAGGAAGGAAAAAGAGACTGTAGCTGTAAATCTTCTCCCCAGACCATTTTTCTTCCAGACTGATCACTCACAAATTGCTGAGAAATCTACAAATCTTAGAGATACTGTAAATTCACTCATCCATGAAAATTACCTCATTTTGATTAAAGTTTATGTACACTGTTAA